TTTGTTTGATTTTTTTGGGGAAGGTTTTTCATTTCGGTCTTCGCTGACATCCAGTGATCATTAAGCATCCTTGAGAAAAAGAATGTTTGATTGATTTTCTCTCTTAGTCGAGGTTTTGCACAGGTGGTTAGGAATGACAGTTATTATTCCGTTTTATCACAAAGATGTTGAAATTCTCGTTTGTCACGTTCGGTTCACACGCAAGATTCTCGGTTCGACCTCGAGAGGAAACGCTTGACAATTTTATAATCCCTTTCATTACTACGCTTCACCATTCTCTCTCTTCCATCTTTCACGCTCGCTCTCTGTCTCCCCATATCCTCTCTCTCTCGTTTTACTATCTCGTTATTCTCCCTCTCTCTTTTCCTCCCTCCCTCCCCCCCCCCTCTCTCTCTCTCCTCTCTCTCCTCTTCCTCTCTCCTCCTCTCTTCTCTCTCTCTCTCTCTCTCTCTCTCTCTCTCTCTCTTCTCTCTCATTGACCAGTAATTGCATCAAAACATTAGAAAAGAAATATTCATCATTATATCGTTCATAATAATAACGGTGATGATGATGATAAATATAAGAATATTAATAATAATAATGATTATGGGTAAAAAAACATATAAACACAATGTTGTTATATGAAGAACTATAAAAACAATGATAGTAATAATGATGATGATGATGATAATGATAATAAATTATCGATAAGATAACTTTATAATAATAATGATAGAAATAGTAATGATAATGATGATAACTATATTATGTAATAATCATAATGATGATAATCACAATCATAATGATAGTAATAACGATAATAATAGCAATGAAAATAACAACGATAATAATGATCCTCTGCGCTGCCCATCTCGGACCGCGAGAAGGGAAGTGTTGAAAAAGTCTTCGTTAATAAAAGGAAAAAATAGATAAGAAAAAAAAAAGGGAAACTCTCTTAAATGCTTCTTCGCTCTTCCTCTTTCCTTCTCCTTCTTAATCCTCGTCTTCGATGGTCTTGCCTTTTCTCCTCTCACTCTTGATTTCCATTTTCTCTGTTTATTCTTTCTAATCTCTCTCAGTTTTTACCCCTTTTTCATCATTTTTGTTTTGTTTTCTTTTATTTTCCTCTTTGTCTCTCTGGCATTTTTCCCTTATCATCTATTTGATATTTCTGTTAATTCCTCTTTCCCCGTTTCCCTATTTTCACTCTAATTTCCTTGCCCCTTTAATCTCATCTCGCTTCCTTTTTCCTTCATGTAGGCCATGCTGTATATCTGTTTTTGTCTTGTTTTCTTCGTTTTTCCTCCCTCTTTCCTGTGTATTAATATCTGGCTATAAATTAGTTTTTCGTAATTCTTTCCCAATCAGCGCGACAAATAACATTAAAATTTCTTCAAATTTCATAATAATAAAAATACAAGCCTCCCCGCAGGTAAGAATCAAAGCATAAAAACTAGATAAGACAACAAAGTAAAATGGCAAATAAGGAAGAGGAAAGAAAAGACGAAGAAGAAATATGAAAGCAAGAACAGCGTACATAAAAGGCCTATATGAAAATAATGAAAATAATGATAATTATAATAGTAATGATGAAAATAATGCCAATGATAATGATAATAATAATAACAATAGATAATGATTATACTGATAAAGATGATAATGAAGAAATTAATGATGATGGCTAATAACAACGATAGTAGTAATGATAATGATGAAATAATACTGATAAGAATTATAGTAATAATAATGTAATAAAAAGATAGTAATAATAATGATAATGATGATATTCACAAGGATAATGATACTGATAATGAAAATGATTATGATAATGACAATAATAGCAACAATGAAAACAGTAATTCATAGAGATAATAATAATAGAAATAATAATAACAATGGCTATGATAAAGATAATAATGTTGATGATAATGATAACTATATCTAATGGGGATAAAATAATTGGCAATCATAATGATCCTAATAATAGAAAAAAAATGATAATAATAACAGTAGAAGGATAATAATGAAGCAGAATAATTATTAATATCAGTAACATAGAATCATATTCAGAAAATTGAAAATGAAAAAAAAGGATAATAAAACAATAAACATGATGCTAAGGGCAGAGAATCTAAAGAATAATGATTATGATGATTTCTGCTTTATAACTCCATCTTTCCAAATCTACTTTAAGTTAGCAGGGTGGCGCAGTGGGAAGCGCGCCGGGCTCATAACCCGGAGGACCGTGGATCGAAACTCTGCGTTTTATATTGATTTTCTTTCTTTAATAATATAATGTTAATCAATCACTGATAAGGCTAAAAGATAAAACAAAGAAGATAAAAAGATGTATAAATGGATTAGAAAACTGAAAGATAGAAAAATAGAGCAACTGACATGATAATAATCATAACAATATGATATAATAAATTAAACAACGATATAATAATGATAGATAATGGTAGAAATGATAATTGAAAATTATTATAATATGAAATAATAGGTTAATAATGCTGATATAATGCATAGTAATACTAATGATAACTAAAACAACAATGACCGTTGATAACGGTAAAAATAATAACACAAAA